GAATTGAACCCGAAATGGCAGAGCTGGTTCGAGGGTCAGAATTGTCTATTCCTGCTCCTAGTTCTTTTGTTTGTTTTGGAGGGATTACCACCGCAGTGAGCTTTCTTGCCTTATCTTACCAAACTCTCCTCATGAACTATCTTTCCCACCTCTAGTGTCCCTCATGTCGGATTCTGTCCTCAGCACCATTCCTAGAAACATTCACCAATGTGCATCTTGGTATTCACCAGCATCCCTTGCACCGTGCAACTTTAAAAGCCTGTTGTGCACCCAGACAAGCACAGTCAGTCTGGAGCTGCCCTGCACGCTTCCTAACATTTGCCCAGACATGGAAGATAGGGAAATTGGGGCCTACTTTATTAGAAAGAAACTGGAGGTCCTGCTGGATGGGATGGTGCAGACCCTCTTCCTCCAGGACCAACACTGGAGGCAATAATACCGGACTTTTCCAACCTGGCTTGCCCTTGTAATCTCAACCTTCTCAAGAAATGCACAGCACTGTAGTGGGTAAAAATGGTCATTGACCACCCCCACTCCACCAGCATAAGTGGCACCATCTTCTCTCTGAGAACATGTTACAAGTCCTTTAACGTAGCAGGACAGCAAAAAACTGGTTAAGAAAGGTATCTGGGACATTTGTCTTTATTAGCCAAGGCACAGAGTTTAAGAGCCGGGAAGTCATACTGGAACTGTACAAAACATTGATTAGGCCACAGCTAGAGTATTGTGCGCAGATCTGGCATTTATAGGAGGGGTACGATTGTATAGGAAAAAGGTGCACAAGAGGATATTTACCAGGATATTGTCTTGGCTGGGGAGTTTTAGTTATGAATAGAGATTGGATAGACCGGAGTTGTGCTCCTTGGAGCACAGGAGCTTGCAGGGGGATATGATTGAGATTTATAAGATTAGGATGGGCATAGATAGGGTAAACAGGAAGAAACCTTCCCTTTGATACAGGGATCAATGACTGGGGACACAGATTTAAGGCAAGGGGCAGGAGGTTCAGAGGAGATGTGAGGAAAAATTTTCTGAAGAAGGGTCTCGACCCAAAATGTCAGCTTTCCTGCTCGCCCTGCTGTGTTCATCCAGCTCTACACCTTGTTATATCAGATTCTCCAGCATCTGCAGTTCCTACTATCTCCTTCACCCAAAGGATGGTGTTCGTCTGGAACTCACTGCAAAAACACCAATAATATTTAAGAAATATTTAGACATATACTTACAATGCCAAAGTATACCAGGCTGTGCAACAAGTACAGGAAAATGGGATTAACACACATAGTGGTTGTTTTTGACCAAGTCTGACTTGATGGGCCAAAAGACCACTTTCTGTGCTGTATGATTCTATGACTCTATGATATCTCATTCCATGCTATCTCTGATACTGTACCGACATCCCACCTATCACTTTCATTAATGATTACACCATCTTAACGCCTGACAAGGCTTGACATGACTGAGGTCTTTCTTTGTGTCAGCACTAAACAGCGAGGCAAGACAGAAGTAATATGAGTCTTTTATCTCTGGCTGAGGGAGCAAAACACGACAAAGGCAATGCAAGCAATAATGCTGAGAGATCCAGCTAAGGTCAAAGAGAGTGAGTGCTATGACAGTGAATAGAAACCTCAGAGTTGCAGCCTGGTCCAGTCTCTGAGCTGGATGCATGACCCTTAGCACACTGTTTCCTTGCTGCTGCATTATAATGATGGTTACTGGTGCAGGCTGAGGTGCAGCACCAAAGTGCAAAGAATTCTGTAAGCGGATCAGAGATGTGCCACGAGGGTTCTCAGAAGTTGGCACATATCAGATACCAATGCCCATGGAAGTGTATGTGGAGTGCTTGCAGCTGGTGCCCATACAGCATACTCTAAGATGCTAGTGCCAGTGTCCAACATGGAGGTCACACTGCTTTCCATCGTCACACAGAAGTTGGTTCGTATGTGGAATGAACTGCCAGAGGAGGTGGTAGATGCAGGTACAGTTACAACATTTAAAAGACATTTGAACCGGTACTTGAATAGCAAAGGTTTAGAAGAATATGGATCAAACACAGACAAATGGGACCAGTTTAGCTTGGGAAACTTGATCAACATGGACGAGTTGGACTGATGGGGGCCGTTCCTGTGCTGTATGGCTATTCACCAACCTATGAGTGAAGAAACCCCTCATCTCAGTCGTAAAAGATTTGTCTTTCATTCTGATACTGTGACCCCTTGTTCTTGATGCAACAGCCAGACTTCCTCTCATCCTAATCCTTGGTCTTAGAAAATATTTCTAATTTTCCCATTTGATATGAATATTGATGGCTGTTCAGTATTTATTATTCAACTCTAAGTGCCTTTGAGAAGGTGACAGTGAGCTGCTTTTTGAACGGCTGAGGGCCTTAGTGATGCAGGAACACCTACAGTACTGTTAGTAAGTTCCAGAATTTTGGCCAAGCAACAATGAAGGAATAGTATTTCAAGTTTGGCTGGGGTGCAGCTTGAATGGCAACTTGTAAATGGTAATGTTCTAATGCATCTGTTGCATGTGGTAGAGGTCTTGGGTTTGGAAGGTGCTATCGAAGGACCTTGGTGAATGCTGCGGTGTATCTTGTAGATGGCACATACTGATACCACCGTGGTGAAGAAAGTGAATGTTGAAGGTGGTTGATGGGGGTGAAAACCAAGTGAGCTGCTTTGTGCTGGATAGTGTTGAGTTTGAGTGAAATTGGAGGAGCACTTACAGAGGCAAGTGCAGAGTATTCAATCATACTTTTGATTTCTGTATTGTAGATTGGAGCCAGGCATTGGAGAAAGACATAATTGTTCATTGCAGAATTTCTAGCCTCTGAGCTGTTCTTTTGCCACAGTATTTATACAGCCAGTAGAGTTCAGCTTCTGGTCAATGATACTGCCAGGATGTGATTAGTGGAAGACTGAGCAAAAATAATGCCATTGTACATCAAAGGAAGGTGGTTAGATTTCCTCTTCTAAGAGATGGTCATTGAATGGCATTTGTGTAGCATGAATGTTACTTGTCAATCATTAGACCAGATTTTCATGTTGTACAGGCCATGTTGCATATGGATACAGGCTACTGTGGTATTGGAGGGGTTGCAAATAGTACTGAATATTGTGCAATCTCAGTAATTCTGGTGGTAACTGATCAAGCAGTTGAGGATGGAACCTAAGGTTCCACGCTGAGGAACTCCCATTGTGATGTTCTGGGATTCAGTTGATTAAGCTTCAAAACTGACAACCACCTTTCTTTGTGTTAGGCATGACTACAACTAGTGGAGAGTTCACTCCCTGATTACCTATGACTATCATTGTGTAAGGGATCCTTGATGCCATACTTGGAAGCAGAAACACGATGAAGTGCTAGTAATCTAGACAAATGTTCTGGGGACATAGGTTCAAATCCCACCATAGAAGATGGTGAAATTTGAATTTGATTGTTATAGAAACCCATCTATTTCACTTATTCCTTTAGGGAAGAAAATCTGCTATCCTTACCTGGTCTAGCCTACAGATGACTCCAGACCCATGGCACTATGGCTGACTCTTAACTACCTCCTGGGCAATATATGCTGGCCTATCCGGTGACACCAATATCCCATTAATGAAGAGAAAAAACAAAGGGTGATGCCAAGGACAGTCACCCTCACCTCACCTCTACAATTCAACTGCTTTGTTCATATTTGGACCAAGGCTATAATGAGGTCAGGAGCTGAGTGGCCTTGGCAAAACCGAAACTGAGCTTTCTTTGTCCCAGTATTTGCTGGCATCATTAATGCTGTCCATCCATCAAAACCAGAGGAATATATCAATTTCAAAAGATCACCCTTAACACTGGCAGTCATTCTTTCTCCCTCCCATATAACTACCAGAAGCATATTGATTAAACTGCAAGAGAATAATAAATGTATGAATAAAGCATCAGTGCACAGGCTCCACTACTGCATAGATGACTCAATTTTCCTACTGATAATAAAACTTATTGGGTTATTGTCGCTGGTGTCCAGAAACTGCAAGGCAGGTTTACAATGAACTGGTATGTTTTGCAACATTTAAAGACTGATTCAACGATTGTCAATGCCTCACAAACTGCCTTCTTCATCTCTCTTGGTGCTCCCAGATTATATAAATGCCCACTCTCACAGCACCCTACCTCTACAATGAATTTCAGCCCATAACTGAACCAGTCTACATTCTTTTGGTCCTCTAAATCACACCTTCTTATATTACTCTCTCTCACCCATCTGCGCGACGGCCAGATCACATATCCCAAGCACAATCCAGAGTTGTCTTTTCAAATCAAAAAAGTAGTCTCCCTCTCACCCCTCCCTCTCTCACTTGCACCGTTCCTCTCTTTCCCACTCACCTTGCAGTCTCTACATCATCATCACAGCCGCCTTGCAGATCCCACTCTCCCCATCCCTTTGCAGTCTCCATCTCCCCCTCTCAGTCACCCGAGTCTGTCTTTCCCACTAGCCTACTTGCAGCCTGTCAACACCCAGCCTTGTAACCTCGCCATCTCTCTCCCTCACAGCATCTCTTTCTTCCAACATGTTACAATTGTTTACCATCAGACTCTTGTTGCAACTTTCTATCCCCTCCCCTACTGTTGCTACCCACTTCTCCCACTAGAATCCTTTTGAGCCACCTTCCCGCCAACTCCCCTCCCTAAAATGCTAGCAGACATCTCCTCACCCCAGCAAATGGGACACTGGTGGCAAAAATTGACCTTTTCCTGTTCCAGATGAAAGCGCTCAAGTTCAAGGTTCAAGATCTCCAGTACAAGGTAGCTTCAACTGCCCAATAACTTACTCACTGTTGGCGTTTCCTTTACTAGCTGGTTGCATGGCAGCGCTACCCAAGCAGACCCCAGTGATTAACATAGTGTGCATCTCCCTCTTTGGAGTCATGCCCATTGCCATTTTAACTCAAAAGCGAAAGCATACACAGTTTATAACCAAAGTTGAGAACATTACACTGGTTTTGAATTACACCTACCTTCTAAGCTTTCCCGTTCGTCAGAAGTCCAAGCCTGGGACTTTGTCTGCTCACGCAGAAAGTCAATAATTGAATAGGCAAGACGCTTCAGTTCTGACATTGTTACCACCTTAAAAACATTAAAAAGAACATTAAGTAAAATATTAACATCCTTTTGGATCAGCAATCATGTAACCACTGCCGATTGTCATAGAAACCCATCTGGTTCACTAATGTCCTTTAGGGAAAAAAATCTGCCGTCCTTAAATAAAACAAAGAACTGTGGATGGTAGAAATCTGAAACAAATGCAAACGCTGGAGAAACTCAGCAGGGTGGCAGCATCCGTGAAGAGAAAATCTGTGGAGTCTCGTGACCCTTTGTCAAAACTAAAATTTTGGCTGGGAAATGGTGGTGTCTCGACAAAGTGAGGAGGGAGGAGGTAAACAGGCAAGCATCACACCTTCTGCAACTGCGAGAAAAGGAGCCATGGGATGTGAAGTGGTGATGGGAGTAGAGAAGTCGAACAGGGTATCCCAGAGGGAACAATCACTGAGGAACGCTGACAAGAGAGGGAAGGGTTGTGTGTGTCTGGTGGTGATATTCTGGTGGAGTTGGAGGAAATAGCAATTTATCATCCTTGGATGCAGAGGCTGGTGGGGTGGAATGGGAAGGCAAAGGGCTCCTGTTGTTGTTGTGGAAGGGAAGAGATGAAGTCAGAAGTGCGGGAAGTAGATCAGACATGGCTGAAGGTCCTGTCAAACATGGTAGCGAGAACCCTCAGTTGAGGAATAAGGTGGACATGTTGGAGGTCCTTTCTAAGGAAGGTGGCATCATCATAACAGTTAAAGCAGACATGAAGAAACTAGAAGAATGGAATGGAATCCTTACAGGAGGTACTGAGGATGCACAGCCAAGGTAATCGTGGAAGTTGACGGATTTGTAATTCATATTTGTGGCCAGCCTGTGTAATCTGCTGTACTTACCTGGTCTGATTTACATGTGACTCCTGACCCAAAGACCATGATGTGGTTGACTCTTAACCATCTTCTGGGTAATTAGAAATGGTCAATAAATGCTAGCCTAATGATGACCATATCCCACGAACAAAAGAAACAAACAAAAAAGACCAAAACAGCATCCTATTCGTTCTGCAGCACTCCTTCTGTGACTTTTTTTGACATCAATATGCTGTCAGCTGTGAATATATCGATCTTTGCTCATACGTGAATGTCTTCTCTCCAACAAAATCTCAGCAAAATTTCGATTGTGTTGAATCTGCCCCACTGACGATAGACAGGAAATTTTCATATGCAAGATTCACAACATATGTAAACTGGCAAGATTGAGAAGTGATAGCAAATTGAAAAGCAGCATAGCTCGATTGCAAGCTGTGTCGTCCCTCTAACACAATGGCAGAGAATGCAATTAGATCTACTTGCTATACTTACTTGCATTCATTTAAATCTCACTTCATTCTCCCTGTACACTTTTAATTTCTCTGTATATGTACCATACAAAGCATTCCAAAGCCAAATAATGTATTCAGTTATATTTTTAATACACTCATTGTTTTCTCACTTGTTATCAGAAAGCCATGTTAATTAGCTTCCAATGAAAAAAATGAAAAGTAAAACAAAAGGAATGGCATGGTTGTAGAGAGGAAAAATAGTAATTAAAACTGCTCTTGCACTTATTAAAGTAATGACATAACTATTTCCTTTTCTGTTGAAATTTTTTCAGAGTATTAAACTTTTCATGAATTATCTGCAGGATTCTAAAGAAAGCTTCATTAATTTTCCAAACTAATTCTCTTCAAAAATAAAATTTCTTCAGTTGTATTTTGGCTTTATATTGGATTCCTGTTGTATTTGGATTTCTCTTTTTACCCTTCTATAAACTGAAATATAATCACAATTGGCAGTAACAATCATGGTTTGGGTAGACGCTGCAATAAAAGTCCAAAAGCAGCTGGGAGGCAGTTCAGGGCTTAGTGGAGGTCTTCATGGTGCTGAAGCAGAAAAGTCAGAACAGGGGTTACAAACACTTGCTACAGAGCCAAGTCTGCTGAAAATTTTTCTGAGACCACAGCTGGGAAAAATATGCCCAACACAGTCAACATAAATACAATAGTACACGTCAGTTAGCATTTTTTGGCACTGATTGTTTGTATTGTTTGCAGATGAATAAAACATATCCAGTTTAGGAAGGTGAACAACAGCTCACAGGGCATTACCAAAAATGAAAGACATCAAAAATGTAAGGTCCAGGTGTTCCCACAAAGGGGAGACTTACACCTCAAATCTTGCCATCTGGTGCACTCTCCCTACCATTGTCATCATGTTCCAAAGTTTACCAGTTCTCCGATGACAATAAATCATAGTGAGCACATAGGTGTATCATGTATGTAACAGCAACTGTGCATTCACAAATCAGCTTTGGGGCAAGAAATGGAAAATGCAATTTATGTAAATTTAATTATTTTAAAGGTTTAGAATCCCCTGTTGAGATGGAGATTATTAGTTTCTTTCCAACACATGATGCATAAATTCAGGTAACTCCAAGTTGCTAATTATTAGCTTTTATTTTGATTTCAGAAGCCAAAATTGAGCTGAGCAGACTCATTTTGAAGTTTTAGACTTACAGAAGATGTGATAATCAATTAGTTTGAATGAGATAAAGATCATCCCTTTACAGACAGCAAAAATGTACCTAAGAACTAGGAACCCGAGTAGGCAAATTCGATCCTTCAAGCCTACTCCATCATTTAAAATGATCAAGCTGATCTTATCCCAGCTGGAACTCCCTGTAGCCCTTTAACTAATTGAAATTACTGTCTATCTCCTCCTTAAATTCATTCAATGTCAGCATCCATCACATGCTGAGGTTGTGAATTTCATAGACTCACAACACCAAGGATAAGAATTCTTCCTCATCTTTGTTTTAAATCTTCCACCGCTTGGCCTAAAACCATAACCTCTCATTCTAGATTCGTCACATGGGGAAACACCATTGGTCTAGAGGCAAGAAAACCTGACAATGCTGGCGAGAAAAGGCAAGCCACACGTCTGATGTCTCTAGCAAGCAAACAAGCTCCACATCAAAAAGATGCTGCCATAGCATGTCTTAGACAGTGGGGCTTCAAAAGAAGCCCTCTGAGCCATAGATGATTCAATGTAGCTGAGTGCGAGGGTGAAGGAAGCCCACAAGCAGAAATTGCTAGGTGTACCTGGAACTTACGACTACTGGGATTTGTGTTAGCTTAATGAAACCAGCAGTCTGCAAAAGAACTGGAATTGTGCCCGAGAGTAGATGTTGGACTGCAACGTTGAGAGTCCAATGAAATGCAGTCTCAGAAGAGTATGAATTACCAAGTCATTGAGACAGTGCCTGACCCAGCAGCTTTTGAGTTTCAAGGTTAGATCTTTGAAAATAATGAATTAGAATTCCTTGTAAAGGTGACAAAGTTTGAGATCTGGTAACCCTACAGTAACACTATTGTCAGGTTGGGTTGCCTGCAAATCCATGAGATGCGTCATGATTCATCAAGTATTTGATGTGCTATGTGGGATGTTCTACTATAGTTTATTATTAGGCTATTTTGCCTAATGTTAATTCTGAATAATAGAAGATATTTTCATTTACTTACGCATATTTTACAGTGTTTTAATTTTCTAACTCTGTATAAAAGGTTTATTCCTTAAATGTGGAACCTGGTGACTTTATTCTTTTAGTAAGTGCCTGGAATCCGAAACTTTGTCTATTTTAAACAAGAAATAATTATTGGTCCATAACCAGATTGTCACATAATTTAGTGATCTCATCCAGGACCATTACAGTACTGACCAAAGGATCTGTTGGACATTGTCAACAGTGAAGCTTCCCCATCCAGCTTCACATTCTAGGAGCCATTTCTAGCATCAGGAGTGTTGAAAAGCTTTGGTCCCTGTTAATGCTGTTATGATCTCTCCCAGTGTTGTGATATGGTAATGATTCCTCTTCATTGCTTGAGACAGTGGAGATCCAGGAAAATTCAGTCATCTATTTGGCTTCTCTCTTATCATGATGGTACTTACCCAATCTATAAACGCTATGATCACATTTATCCCCCACCTCTTAGCATTTTTTTCAAGTTTTCCTTTAGAGTTTGATTTATTATTGCCATATTTACCGAGATACAGTAACAAGTGTTGCTTTGCATGCTATGCAGGCAGATTGTACCATACAAAGGGCATCAGGGTAGCAGAACAGAGTGCAGAATAGTGTTACAGCCGCAGAGAAGGTGCAGCGAGAGCGAGAGCGAAGAGATCCATTCAAAAGTCTGACAGCAGTGGGGGAGAAGCTGTACTTGGATCTGTTTGTAACTGTATTAAACTTTTATAAGTTCTGCCCAACAGAAGAGGTGGAAGAGAACATAACCAAATAGGAGGGGTTTTGGTTATGTTGATTGCTTTTCCAAGGTAGCAGGAGGCATAGATGAAGTCAATGGATGGAAGGCTGTTTTGTGCGATGAATTGGGTTGCGTTCACAATTCTTTGTAGTTTCTTACAGTCTTGGGAAGAGAAGTTGCCACACCACACTGTGAAATATCCAGATAGGATACTTTCTATGGTGCATCTATAAAAATTGGTAAGAGTCTTTGTGGACATGTCAAAATCCCTAGCCTCCTGAGGAAGTAGAGATGTTGATGTGCTTTCTTGACCATCATGTCGACATAGGTAGACCAGGATAGATTGTTGGTGATCATCACTCCCAGGAACTTGATGGTCTCAACCATCTCCACCTCAGCATCGTTGATGCAGACAGGAGCATGCCCTCCACTCCACTTCCTGAAGTCATTGACCAGCTCCATTGTTTTACTGGCGTTGATGGAGAGATTGTTGTCTTTACACCATTCCACTAAGCACTCAATCTCTTTCCTGTATTCTGTCTTGTCGTTGTTTGAGATCTGACCTATGCAGTTGGTCTCATCAGCAAACTTATACATGGAGTTGGGGCAGAATTTGCCCACAGAGTCATGAATGTATACGGAGTATAGTAAGAAGCTGAGTACACACCCTTGCGGAACACTTGTGTTGAGGATTATGGTGGAGGAGGTGTCGTCACCTATTCTTACTGATGGCAATCGGTCA